CATTCGTAGCACTACCACGCGTAGTGATACTAATTCGTGACACTAGCACGCGTAGTTGTACCCACTTCTAGCACTACTACGCGTAGTAATACGCACTTGTAGTATAACCTCGCGTACATTTACTTGAAATTACTATCACTCGAAACATTAACACTAATCAAATTATTTTGTGTAATATTAGTGAACATAATATTACCGCGTATCATATATGTATATCATAAATTGTACTATCTTTACAAATAGCTCGAAAAACGTAGTACTACGTGTAGTATTACGTGTTATATCCACCCATCATAGTACCAAGCGTTGTATAACCATTCATCACCACCTGTTGTATCATCACGAACAGTTCCACATATATTACATACTATCAAACGTACTATCAAGCATATTATCGCAAGTATTACCGCCAGTATTTCGTAGGAATAAACGTTGTGAAACAGGAGGAGCAAACAGTGTATATCAATTTAATATCGCACCTCTTATCAATAAACACCCTTTCGTTATTCCTCAATAATTCATCAGGCGAGTTGTTTATTCCTGTTTCGAAGTAAATTTCAGCAGAAGACCCTCGTCCACGTTTGCTCCCTTTTGTAGACTTGGTACACGGTGTGCACACACAGTCCGCCGCAAGAAACGCGGTTGGAGGCCACGTTTGTCTTTGATAATCAACGGCTGGCTCATCCATCTTGGTCAAAGGGGTCAACACTTTTCCGTGCGCGACACCCGCGACCAACCACTCCGGCAAATGCATTATTCATGAGCCTGGCGTGGTAAGTGTTGTCCGAAATTCAATTCAGTAGCCGGCGAAGGCGGCGGTGTACGTGATTTGCCTTCTGCCGGCCTCTGGATCTCGCTTTCTTCCCTTTTTCACGTTCTTCCTTATTCCGCTTCTTCCTCTTCTTCTTCGGTGTTACTCGACTAATCGAGCCGCGATATCGAGGATGAAATTGTTATCGAATATACCGCAGACGAAATTAAGTTGTTCTGACTCTTTTAGGTCTGTTCTCTTCACTGTCTAGCTTATTTCGTTTTCGTTCTTTTAGCGGGCTTGGTCACCAAGATGGCGGCGGGTGGATATTGGATCTCTACAATATTAACCCTTTTAGATCAGAAGTATACGTTGGAGTATCTGAAACACGTTTCTTAATTTGACTCAAAAGAAATACTGGATGATCAATGGATAATTTTACATGTAACACTCAAGGTTTTAAACGTTATTCACGTTGTTCTAAACATAACCTCAAAAGTAAAAAATGAGTATTAGAATGTCTCGTTAGTCAGAAGTACAGTCAACTTTGTAAATGACAACTCTTAATTTTAATTTTGAATTTCGATTTAATATTAAAGTTCAAATTTTAACTTCATTTCAAATGTTCAAGTGACCCTTATTTTTCCGCCATTACTCTTTTTGAATGGCCATTCACGAGACACGATATTATTTGCGAATAAAACCAGGTGAATGGAAGTTGTACGAAGTTGTAAGAAAGAACAGGCTCCAGACGCGAGCCCATTGCGGAGGAGGGGTTATTAATGACCCCGGAGTTGTCTTATCTTTTTCACTTCCTGTTCGAGATACATAATACGTGGGTTGGACACGTAACCGCTGCTGCATCTCTGTATCATAGCACGTTCGACTTTGGTTCTTGCGCGACCACTCGTTTTCACCGATAAAATTCCCTCGCAAATGTGCTAATGCATTAGATGATTATACAAGAGAGAACATATCTCTCTTTTTTGTAAAAACAGTCGTTTAAATGTTGAAACGAATAAATTAGGAGTGAAGTGCACTTTTCGTAACCTAATAAATTTGGCGGGAAATGAAATTTGGCGCGAAATTTCAAATTGTAAGTTCTTTTATTTTGATGTACATGTATGTCTTAAGGTTAAAGTTTAACCTTCATATCTATTAGCTTAACGTTTTAATATTGTAACTCTACAAAGAGTAAAATTAATTAAAAACAAATGTAATAATTTTGTACCTCTCATACCTCTCGCTATATGGCCGGAAACATTGATTAACAGCGAATATCAGTGAACAGAACGAAAAATCCATTTCACCAATGAAAATAATCGTTCGAAAAACAATTTCGATCGAGTCACGCTCGATTTGAGTTTACGGTACTCCGTTTATTTCCTTTCGTTCCACGCGAGAACCTTTTCGATTTCAATGAAAAAAGAGAGAGAGAGAAAGAAAGAAAAACAATGGTCATCTAGATAGCCATCTGTTATCAACGTCGCGATAAATCGAACGGAAGCCGAATATCGTGTATCGAATTCGCGGCCGGAAATCATACAATGTGGTCCGCGTAATGAAAGATAATTGAAATCAAAACAGAATCGATGCGAGAGAGTTATATACTGGTTGTCGACGTAGCAGCATAAAAATCCTCTCCGGAGTCCATAAAGCATCGGACGAGCTTTCGAACGATTCCATTTTTCATTTTTTCCTTTCTTCTTTTTTTTTATGCACATCTCGTTCATCAGTTCAGCTTTATTAACGTTCCGTTGGCGCACGAACGGCAAATATTTCCGTTCGATGAAAAGATGGCTGTAATTATACCGGGATTTCTGTTTTAAACGTGAGCGGAATTCGTGATAAATGAAAATGGAGGTTGGAAGGACTCTGATAAACGGAATCGAGGTTGCGGATGTTTTCATGTCGCTTAGGGATTTTAGGATCTTTTAGGGATATTTGGGGATTTTGGGATTTGTGCGTTTAGGAATTATGAAATTTAAGAAATTTAAGGAATTTCAGAAATTTCAGAAATTTGAGAAAATTAAGAAAATTGAGAAAATTGAGAAAATTGAGAAAATTGAGAAAATTGAGAAAATTGAGGAAATTAAGAAAATTAAGAAAATTGAAAAGTTTCAGAATTATGAGAATTTTGAGAAAATTGAGAAAATTGAGAAGTTTCAGAATTTTGAGAATTTTGAAAATTTTGAGAAATTTTTAGAATTTTAAGAATTTTGAGAAATTCAAAGAATTTCAGAAATGTCAAAAAATTGAGAAGTTTCAGAATTTTGAGAATTTTAAGAATTTTGAGAAATTCAAAGAATTTCAGAAATTTCAAAAAATTGAGAATTTTGAGAAAATTTAGAAGTTTCAGAATTTTTAGAATTTTAAGAATTTTGAGAAATTCAAAGAATTTAAGAAATTTCGGAAATTTCAAAAAATTCAGAAAATTGAGAAATTTAATAAATTTAAGTTAGAATAAAATACAAAAAAAAATAAGGATTAAAAAATTCCAGAACCTAAAAATATAAAAATCAGACAATTTTCAATATTTGTATAAATAACATATACTACACAAGATAAAATAGAAGCAGTACGATGAACCACGTCCACGTAGTCCCTCAGCAAACACTCCCTCTAAGTTTAGACAGTTGCTACCGAAGATCAAATCAGAAGACTGTATGGTGTGTTTATCGTGAAATCGATTATTTTCCTTAACGAGTGGCGTTCAAACAACGTCGCAACGGAAAAGTTGGCGAACAGTCTCCTTGGAGACTGAGGGTAGATTCAGATTTCCGATATTATTTACTTTGTACCAGCCCCTGGACTTCGGACACATCTTGCGAACGGGACAAACACAGAGGGTGTCTCCCTAAAGACCAATTCACCTATAATAAACCCGCTCGATTACAAGACGAAATTACTTTTCCTCAAAAGGATCTCTTTGCCTGTCGTTTGATGTTTCGCGAGATTTCCCTGATGAGAATCGTCGAAATTCTTCGGCCACTGCGAAACTCGGGAATTCGCATTTTGATGAAAATATTCTGACGATCAAAGTGTTAATTACACTCGTGAAAACTGGTGGCTCAGAAGATTAAAAAAACACAGCGAAATTGCTGAAAAAATTTCGCATTCATTATTTTTTAAATAAAACTTATATTCGTCATTTTTAAATAATTCATACAGTGCATTCATTTAATTTTTTAATTTTGCAAAAATTGAATTAAAAATGCTGGTTAAAATAAGAAGGGAGTCTATATAACAATTTAAAAATGAACAATCAAATTAATAATAATAAAATGAAATTAAAATTGTTAAGAACTGATGTTTGCATCAATATCATTTTAAATTTGGCGCCAAACGTTTGTGCTCTTAATTAAAACTGCTATTTGACCAGTTCAGAATTTTATTTTATTTAAAAAAATTATTCAAGGCTTTTCTTGAAGTCTCTATTAATTTTTATCGAGTTAAATAATTGTACATTTATTTGATTTTAATTTTAATTTAAAATTAAGTGTTGTTAAATATTTTTACCAAGCGATAATTGATTCGAAATTCTCTTTGAGAAAAGAGAGGAACCATTGTAATTTTCCGGGCACAGAGGCGAATGGTGAAAATAGAATTCGTGTACAAAGAAGGAGAAAATGGGAGAATAGAAAAGCGTGAAGGAAAGATCGGAAAATTCGACGGTCGGAGATTTTTAGCGAGCACAGCACGCCCCTTTCATCGTGTCCCAACTCTTTTTAGAATTATAACGGCACAAAGGCGAGCACAGGCCGAGCAAGAGCGTAGAGAATAAACCGTAACTGCAAATGCAGGCTCGTGCGAATCCGGAGATTTTCAAAAGGACCACGCGACGTGCTAGGCGTACAAAAAGCGCTCCCCCGACAAAGAGAAACACCCTCAACCGACTGGACCAGAGAGATTTTAGGCGATTTTGTAACGCATCTCTTTCAAACTTTGTTAACTGGTTTTTTATACTCGTGCAATTATAACTAAACTGTTGCTATACGAATTAACTCCGCAACTTTATTTTGTAACAATCGCTATAGGCACTTTGCGAAAGAGCTCTGCAGCGGCACTGTTTAAATATTTATGCTTACCCAGTTTTTAAAGTTATCTCTTTATGACCCACTTTTTGATTACAGAATATTTCATAAAATACAGGATTTAAAAAAATTAATATTTCTTGAAATAAAATTTGAGTCTTACTTGCTAGGACTTGTAGTTTACAATTTTGTAATTTTTGAATATTGTTTTACAGTTCCTGTCCATCCTGATCACGCCATCGGTCAGACAGACGATAGATTTTCACCGGATATGATTGGCGATAGTGACTTCCTGGATAGGTAAATATATTTTTGACAATTTGACAATATTATATTTGTGACAGTAAACTCAAAAAATTCAGCGCTTTTTTAATTCTTGTCCATTTACAACAATTTGTAAATAATTAACAAGTCTAAAAACTTGCTATCACAATAACAAAACTTTGTGCTCTACTTCAAATATTGAAAAAGTATAGTTTCTGTAATTCCAAGAATACTTACACTTCCAAGATAAAATAAAACACCTAAACAACCATAACTTTTGCAAAATATCATATAAAAAAGTTTATTAGTGCACCAAGCTTTCACTAATATAACTTTTTGATAGTGTTTCATTCAAGAATCTTGTTTTATACAAAATAATAACGCTTCACTATTTCACCGCCGAAAGTTATGATCAGCGTCAGTTTACAAATGGACGCCGGGTGTGGTGTCAAATGACATAAGCTTTCTGTTAAAATTTTTGATAGATAATTTATAATTATGAAGCTACTCTTGTACCTAGTATTGTTGCTAAATACGTGTATTTTTGTACGTGCCATAAATAGTGTCAAAAATGTTACTAATATTACAGAAACGAGGTGATTGTTTGTTGTCTTATAGTGAGGTTATAGAAAACTACCGCGAATTCGTTCTTTTGTTATGTTCAGAATAATGTAACTGGCATGAATCAAATAAATACACAATAACTATAGATACCTGTTTTTATTTTCATTTTAAGATATTTCATTCTGTTATCACAATGTTCTGTCTGCCTGTGATTGTGTTTAAGATAGGTTATGTTGTGAAAAACAATCGTTTATTTTTGTGGAAATCATGACATAAAATATTCACCTAAGAAAACAACAAGCTGGTGTTTTCATTCTGATTAAAAAATGAATCCATACCTCTTTATATTATGTTCAAAATGTATTACATTTTAGTACAATGAAACAAAATAATCAGTGCACTCCTAACCTGTTAATCTTGTTACAAGAATTTGTATAATATCAAATATATCTTTTTATGGTGTACAATTTAATCAAATTTCTTTAAAATTATTCATAGCATTGGACCTGGAGATGGATTAGACCTCTCAGGGACTGGAATGTCAACGCCACACATCTCTCACCTGGCTTCAACGAATCCATTCAGTATATTATCGCCAAGTCCACAACCGACTAGTTCTCAGTCTAGCAATATCGACGTTCATTCAATCGGCGGCCTTAGAAACGTCAATATGCAATTATCTCCTGGGAGAAAAGACAATCATGAAGGAAAATGTGAGGTATGTACTTTGACTTTAATTTAAACAAACTGGAAAATGATTCCTTCACTAAAACTTTGTGTAATATATTTTTAGGTATACGTAGGAAAAACGTGTGCACAGTTTTTAGGAAATCAGTCCGTTTATATTCCGTATCCAATGACACAGGAATTACTTGATGACAAGTTGATGAAAGCTTTTGGCGTTATTAAATATTCAAAGTAAGTATACATCATTTAATCAGCATATAAGTGATCGCAACATCAAACTAACACAAACTTTATCTTTCATATTTCAGTGAGATTTCGTTAAGTTGTATAGGATATGCAAAACCATCGCTATGTTACTCCGCGTTTCCAGTATGTCGTGATCCGGCCAGTATTATCAAGCTTAAGAACTCTGAAGTTAGCACGAGTTTGTTTCATCTTTTAAATTCGAACCAAGGAGATTCATCAAGGGATATGGGTGACGGAGATGATGCGGACGATATCTCAAGGTCACACGGTATTCCCAGAAAACGTAGCCCTACGTTAGGTCCTGGTTCCGAATTTAATCCATACAAAGATGGAAAGCCTTCCAATAAGAAAATAATTAATCAAAGCTATGGTGATGCACAGTCCTCCGGCAGGAACGAGATCAATCGTAAGCTACGAAGAATTTGTCGACATGAATGTGAAATGTTAGAGAATGACTTGTGTAAACAAGAGTATGCGATTGCAAAGAGACACCCATTAATTGGACATCAAGTGCCTTTAATTGACTGTTCTGATTTGCCAATGGAGAATACCCCTGAAGCTCACGATTGTTTGAGCCTTGGAATTTCCTCGCGAATCAATGTGCGGGATGGTAAGTTTATTTTTATAAACATTTAGAGGTTTAGCTCCAAAGGTTGGTTATGTATAATTTGAGCAAGTCGCTTTTTATAGACGATTGTTACTGGGGAAATGGAAAGTCTTATCGAGGTACCGTGAAAACAAGTATTAGCGGAAGACCGTGCATGCAGTGGTCACATGGGGAGTTCAACCTCCAGGTTTCCGCGTATCCCGAATTAGCTGGAAAGCATTCATATTGTCGCAATCCGGGTGACAAAGAGTCACAACCATGGTGTTACGTTTACGTCGATAGTAAACCACAAAAGGAATTTTGTAACATACCTAAATGTGGTGAGTTTCGCTAAACGCTAAAATCATAACTTGAAATAAAATAAGGTAATATCGAGTTCTTTTTCGTTTGCAGTTGGAAACTTATGGATCTACGCAGTTGTTGGTTTTGTGCTGACAGGAGGATTTGTTGTCATATTGGTCTGTTATTGCTGCTGCTACAGAAGCAGAAAATCTAGGAGGCAGATGAACCATTTGCCAGCGAATAAAGTGAGATTCTTCTTCATATCTAAATAAAATGTCGACTCTTAGAATTCTGCTAAATCGATAACATTTTATTTAACAGATGTTAACGGGTATACAATGTGACAAGAATATATACGATGGACGAAGAAGTACTACGCAGCCTATGGAGATGAGTTCTCTTTTAGCCGGTCCTGGTAATACAACTCCTGGAACTGGAACATTAAGTAGCGGCAGTAGTAGAACATCTAATAATAGAGTACCGCAGTTTACCACCAACAACGTAATGCTGTTACAAGAACTGGGAGAAGGAGCTTTCGGTAAACATAAAATAAATGATGAGCTTATACAGCGCATTACGTAATAAATTGAATAACATCTGTTTACGCTTCCCTCAGGAAAAGTGTACAAAGGAGAACTACAGACGGGCAATAAATGTGAACCGCCGATTTACGTAGCTGTGAAAACATTGAAAGAAAACGCAAGTCCAAAAACACAAAGTGACTTCAAACGGGAAGTTGATCTGATGACAGATCTTAGACATCCAAACATCATTTGCTTGCTTGGTGTGATATTGAAAGGCGAACCAATGTGTATGTTGTTCGAGTACATGACTCAAGGAGATCTGCACGAGTTTCTTATTTGTCATTCGCCGAGATCGGACGTTCCTTTAAACAACGGAACTGGAAAAATTTTGGAGCAGCCAGAGTTCTTACATATTGCTTTACAAATTGCGTCCGGTTAGTTCAGACTTATTATTGCTGTTTTGTAAGTTACTGTGTAATTTTACTGAATGTTAATATCGTTTTCAAGGTATGGAATACTTAGCTAGTCATCACTACGTTCACCGAGACTTAGCTGCAAGAAATTGCTTGGTTGGAGATAATCTGACTGTGAAGATCTCAGACTTCGGGTTGTCACGGGATATATATAGTAGCGATTACTATAGAGTTCAGTCTAAAAGTCTACTACCCGTTCGGTGGATGCCTCCAGAATCGATCCTTTACGGCAAATTTACGACAGAATCAGATGTATGGAGCTTCGGTGTCGTACTATGGGAAATCTACAGTTACGGTTTACAAGTAATGACTTAATTCATAATATTAAATCAGAGATTCCTAAAATGTAGGCCCTAAGCCAGTGATGGGTTTACAAGCTGATTTTGGATATACGTTAAATATTAAAATATGAGTGGGCTCATCACATTTGGAGAAGCTCTGTATTAAATAGTTAAACATCAATCAGTATTTAAATATTATTTTTGTTTCAGCCGTATTATGGATATAATAACCAAGAAGTAATCGACATGATACGATCACGTCAGTTACTACCTTGCCCCGAGGACTGTCCAACAATGATCTACAGCCTGATGATAGAGTGCTGGCACGAGGTGGCGAACCGAAGACCGCAATTTCCAGAGATCCATCACCGTCTGCACAACTGGTACATAAACCAAACATACCTGAGCGACTTTTGTAACGAGTCTATCACCAGTTATTCCGGAAGCAGTCACAAAAGCACAAATAAAACCAATTCCACACAGTTGTCAGCGCCAATCTACAAATGCGATCCGAAGGAAATGAACTTCAAGGGGGCTACGGAACCGACGTTTTGCAACTTGAGCGACCACAGCAACGGGATCAAGATGTTGCCTCCGAACTTTCAGAACACAAATCCCGTGGAACAAAGGCTGAATTGTGGTTTCAGTGAACACGGTACGCCGATGAAGGTACCTAGTTATCCCAACCAGACGACGAACGTTAATTTGAACGACTACGACGACAAACAGTGCTGTTCACCGAAGCTGAGCGGAGCGAAGAAGGTCCTGCCCTCGGCGCCGCAAGCACCGGGCAAGATGAACACGCCTAACGGTACCAGACCAATGCAAAATGGAGCACAATTAGTTGTCAGGTTACCAGACCCCAGTAAGGTCACTACCGAGACCAGGGTATCGAAGTGAACGCGATCCGTTCATGGACGAATTTCTATTGTTTCTACATATTTACAATAATCGCTGTACAAGATATATACGGTTCGTTTTGTAGGTACGACTTGAATCTTTAAAGCTTCAGATCATGTTCGTTGAACAGGACATAGGTACCGGGTCCTTGATACCTAATCACTGCCACCTTCCCGTATTTATTTATTTCGTATTTGAGATTTACATATTTTATACTGCCGATAACGAGTCGGACCGGTGGTACAATCTTGACAATTTTTATACAGGTAATACAGGATATACATACGTATAAATATATGAATATGTATACAGTATAGACCAGTAGACTGTACCGTTAATGTTGTCGCGTACATTTTCACCTTGCATTATTTCGAATTGTATTTTGAAAGTATTCGATATTATTCTGATAAAAGTATTTGAAAGCAGTTTATACGTTGAATTTATGTATATGAAAATTAACGTTCTCTCTGTGCTAATGTTAGGTCGACGTGAGGACATTTGTAAATCGAGTAACTTTTATGGAACTTTTTATATGGTTTTTAGTTATATTTTTGCATATGCGAAACCGTGAAATTTCGACTGATATATTGTTACTAGGGTGTAATATAAATATGTAACGTTAGTTGTGTTTGTAATGTCTAACGAACTGGTAACGATGTACTTTAGATCAGTGATGGGCAACTCCGTTCACGAGGACGCGTACAGGTTAGCTGCACACGCGGGCACTAATAGTTATTCAGTTTGGAAACATTTGAAGTTTCCAAATGACCAAATTTTTAAACAACTTAAATACTAGATTTCATAACCTCGTACCGTGCCAGATGTCCCTTCGACATCTTGATCTGCCCATCATTGCTTTAGATTCACTTGCGAACGATGTATCAAACCGATATCCAGAAACGGCACAATAATAAACTATCGGTTGTAGAAGTAAGTCAATACGCGATTTCATTGTGCATTTAAAGAAAAACTAAGGACTTGTATTTAATTCTCGAAATGAAAAAGCAATTTGAATCATATCGTGTGTCGAAATAATAGCAATTATTCTGCTCAAATCAAAGGTGCACCTTTTTTCTATCGAATCGTTTGTCTCTCTGTTTCGTACTGTATTTTATGTAAGAAACTGAGGTCACTTGTTCTTAAACTGTCAGAATTTATACGGTAACTTTTCTAACGAATCTCTTAGATTAAGTTAAGGATTGAGGAGTTCGAGAATCTACGGAAGTTGGACAAAATGGTGGATATTTTTATTCCTTTGGACACAGGTTATTTTGTGAGAAGGAAGTTTAAAGCGTTATAGATATTTTTGTACCTTTTTTGGGATTAGGGTCGAAGAGCAAATTGCGAGTAGCTTTAAGATGGTTTCTTTGATTGAATTTAAATTGAGGGGTTGCTAAATGTTTTCATCACTTTGTCCACCGACTGTGCATTCCACACGACTGCTAGTAGTAAAGACGATTCAACCTTCACCAGAATTGTCAATGCTATAATTGTGTAAATTATACAGGATCATAATTATCATTCGTGTATAGAGCGTAGAAGTACGATTGTGAGACGGGCGTATCGAATGGTTCAAAACTAGTCTCAACATTCGAAGAGCAACGACGCCCGTCTCGAGCGCTAGAGTGAATATAGTAATTAAGTTGAATTAGGAAGAGAGCCTAGAGTATGAATGATGCGTGCTCGAATTTGTATTATACTTTTGATAATTTTCTATTCAGACGTTTCATCCGAGCGGTGATTGTAAACGAGGAGATTAGAGTATTACTTAAAGATTAAGTTGATGAAAGAGCGAGATTTTCTTGGAAATGACGAACCTCCGAATCGGTGTATGATTAATACTAATTAAATACATTGCTGGCCGCGTCGAAGGCTCGTCGTCGATTAGACGTTCAATTAATTTATGTGAACTTCGACGAAGGATCATAAGTTTAAGATCTTTATACATATATATACACGATCATGATATATACGATCCATGTTTTTTGTATGAAACTGATCAATTCATTTCTTCCCCGTCATCGATCCTGACCGGTTCCAGGAATAAATGTTGAAAAAGTACACCTTGAATTTATCGAATTTCTTCCTCCTCGTTCGTGCGAAAATGTTTCATCCTATTTTAACGTCGATGACAATCTGCATTTGTGGAATGTATTTAATAGTGGGAATATAATTCATATCCTGTGATGATTTACGAGATAATCTGATAATTCGATAACTGTAATGCAACACGCAATTCTGATGTTTAAACGGAAAGAGAAATGGAGAACATAACCTCTTGTTTTTCAACAATAGACAAATAAAAAATGGAAATTTTGTTTACTTGTCTGAACAAGTAAAAATTCTGATTGTAACAATATGGATTTTTGAGAATACTGTGCAAGGAATAATGTTCAATTTTAATTGTTTGAATAGTGGAATTAATAACTAAAATTTACTAGATTTTTTAGTATGTCTTATGAACAAATTTTGGTGTCATATAAAAAATAAATATTCGTAGCAGAGTAGATAGAAAATTTTGGAATTTTGAAACAGATAGAGATGTTCTGCCTCTCGCCTTATCTGTCTATATTCTAAAATATTCCCAGGATGTTAAAATATCCCTAAGATGTTAAAATACCCCTAAGACGTTAAAATATCCCTATGTGGTAAAATATTCCTAAGACGTTAAAATATCCCTGTGTTAAAATATCCCTAGAATGTTAACATATCTCTAAGGTGTTAAAATATCCCTATGTGTTAAAATATCCCTAAGATGTAAAAGTATCCCTAAGACATTAAAATATCCCTAAGACGTTAAAATATCCCTATGTGATAAATTATCCCTAAGATGTAAAAATATCCCTAAGACATTAAAATATCCCTAAGATGTTAAAATATCCCTATGTGTTAAAATATCCCTAAGATGTTAAAATATCCCTAGAATGTTAAAATATCCCTATATAATAAAATATCCCTAACAATAAGTGTTCCCTAAGATTCCACAAATTTTTCAGGAACTGAAGGTAAGAGTATAAAATTCTTTAAAACAACTTCCCTTATTTTAAATTTTAATCAACAATAAATTCACCGCAATAGCATAATCGCGTTCATCAAATGGTTAACCGACAGAACTATAAACGCTGATGCTTCCGTGATTAATGACACGCTAAAATGTCTCGCATATAAATTCCGTCTCGTTATAATAAACGTTGGTTAGTTTGATTTCGATTAAACAGCGCGAACGAACAGTATTTTTGTTTTTATACGAAGAATTCAAAAATTTGCTCTTATGAGACAGCTACTGTTAGTTTTTGTAATTTACGAGGTTTTGAAACCGGTTGAATGTGTGAATGGAGTAATATGGAACAAACAAAGCGGAAATTTTGTGCCGATTTTCAGTATTCCATCGTTTGCGGCGATGAGGGATGAAATTTTTAAAAAAAGTCTGGAAAAGGAGACACATAATTTTCAAGGGGAAATTGTTCGTTTTTCGTATTATGAGGTAAAGGACGTTTTGGTTGATTTCAGTCAGGGGTCGGCAACCTTTTGAGTCGGAAGAGTCAAAAAATTACAATTTACAAAATTTCAAAGTTTTTAAAGAGCCTCAAAATTTTTTCTTGCCAACAATAAATAGTACTCGCATAAATAAAGTTTTTTGATAAAAAAAAACTAATCTATTTATTCATAAGAAAAACATCCGACGACGGCGTCATTCAAGAGCTTCCGACGGACTGACATCGGTAGAATCGGTGCCTAATCTTCGTTAATCGATTCAGAACGATTTTTAAATGTTTTTTTTTGATAAAATAAATAATATTTGCATATAAAACTAAAGAGCCGTAGTTTCACATCCAAAGAGTCGCATGTGCTGCCTTAGGTACCAAAAATTTTTACAAATCCACTCATTATTTTAACTTCAAAAAAAATCATAAATACTTGAACATTGTTTCGATCTATTTCACAATTTCATAATATTTCTGCATAATTCTCAGATTATCAATATGGTCAAATCGGAAGCCAACGGAACCAAAGTGACCGGAGTGATCGGCGAAGTTTGGAATACTTTATCGGACTACTTAAACTTTACGTAAATAAAATTGTTTATAAATGTGGGAATATATTAAATCTTCCTTGCAAAATAAAACATCATCAATAGTAAAATAATATTGAAATACATCAAACTATTCTTGCATTTTGCTAAACTTTAATGAGCTGCATATCTGTTAATTAATATTAAAAATAACGAAATCATTTATTGTTATTTTTCTTTACAATCTTTTTGTTCTAAATTCAAACTACATATCTGTTAACTAATATTAAAAATAACGAAATCATTTATTGTTATTTTTTTTTACAATTTTTTTGCTCTAAATTCAAACTGCATATCTGTTAATTAATATTAAAAATAACAAAGTCGTACATGGTTATTTTTCTTTACAATTTTCTTGTTCTAAATTCAAACTGCATATCTGTTAACTAATATTAAAAATAACAAAATCATTTAATGTTATTGATCTTTACAATTTTTTTGTTCTATATTAATCTTATATCTAAATTATTATATTATAAAATTTGTTCGTTTTTGTTAAACAATTTATGATGCAGAAAATATTTTGTTATTATTTTTGAGAGTTTAAAAATGAATTTTTTTAGTAAAATTGAAAAAGTCTAACTTTTCTACAAGGAAGTTAAAACGAAATTAAAGTTGAAATGAAAGAATTATTGACAGTTTTAATTATTTCAGATTGAAACCAATACTCAGTGAATATCAAACATTAGGAGCCCCACTTCCTAATGGAAGTTATGACAATGGTTTATTGAAAACTATTCAATTAAACAAAACAGATGTGATAGCAAGAGTGGAAGCTCGACATAGCAGTCGACTAAAGGCAACGCAGTTTTCTCTGCCGTTATGGAAAACTCAGTTAGTTGAAATATTTTAAAGTAGAAATAACTAGTATTGTTTATAATCAACAAATTCTTCCTTTATAATTCGATAGAAATGATTGAAATTCTCAAATCCTCAAATTCCCATACGTCTAAGTTTTCAAGTTTCCAATTTTTTAACTTCTGAAATAGCAAATTTGTGAATTATTAAGTTCCCAAATTATTCAATATACAAATTTCTAAATTTTCGAATCTTCAAATACTCAAGTCTCCAAACTTTGAAACTCCAAATTTCCAACTTTCCAAGTTTCCAAATTCACAAATTTCCAAATTTCTAAATTTCCAAATTTCCAAATTGCCAGATTTCCAAATTTCCAAGTTTCCAAATTCCCAAATCTACCAATTTCCAAATTTTCAAATCTCCAAGCCTTCAAATTTCCAAATTTCCAAATCTACCAATTTCCAAATTTTCAAATTTCCAAGCTTTCTAATTTTTAATCTTTCATTCTCTCAAACCCCCAAATTTCTAAACTTTCACTCACTCAAATTTCCAAATTCCCAAATTCTCAAATTCTCAAATTCTCAAATCTTCAAATTTTCAAATCTCCAAATTTTCAATTTGGACTCCAATTCTCCAAAACTCCAATTTTCCAAATTTCTAACCTTTCAATATCTGAAATCCCCAAATTCTTAACCTTTCACTCACTCAAATTTGCAAATCTCCAAATTGCCAAATTTTCAAATTCTCAAATCCTCAAATCCTCAAATTCTCAAATCTTCAAATTTTCAAATCTCCAAATCTTCAAATCCTCAAATCTCCAAACTTTGAAACTCCAACTTTCCAAATTTCTAACCTTTCAATCTCTCAAATCCCCAAATTTCTAAACTTTCACTCACTCAAATTTCCAAATTTCTAAACTTTCCAAATTCTCAAATTCTCAAATTCTCAAATTCTCAAATTCTCAAATCTTCAAATTTTCAAATTTTCAAATCTCCAAATCCTCAAATCTCCAAACTTTGAAACTCCAACTTTCCAAATTTCTAACCTTTCAATATCTGAAATCCCCAAATTCTTAACCTTTCACTCACTCAAATTTGCAAATCTCCAAATTGCCAAATTTTCAAATCCTCAAATCCTCAAATTCTTAAATTCTCAAATTTCCAAATCTCCAAATCTTCAAATCCTCAAATTTCCAAACTTTGAAACTCCAACTACCCAAATTTTCAAAACTCAATATTTTTAATCTTACTCTAACTAGAATTTGCTTATTAAAATATCATATTTCTAAAGAAGCATAATCAATACGCAGATACCGATTATACATTCGACGTCAATTGAAATTTCGATCCGACTGGATGCTGAAATTATTCTCTCGAAAAGTTTGGTACTCGATTCTGTGGATGTACCTCCTGTTGACCGTGTGCAGTTATGTTTCTCAAAAAGCAGGAATAGTTCTTAGTCGCCGAGACTTGATTGTAGACTTGAAAGACCATCTTTTCTACAATTTTGGCACGATTATTGGTCAAAGTAAGAAAAAATTCATTATTGTAAGACAAATTATTTTTTAAATACGAGTATAAATAAAGTATGTTATATTTGTAGGAGAATTAGTAGGTCAACATTTTTCTTAATTTGTAAGTTTTCTTTTTTTTTTTAAATTATTGACAAATTAGGTGGTTTAAAATATTATACATTTTTGTTAATTTATAAACCTTCTTTTTGTAAAAATTAATTAAAAATTAGGTAGTTTGAAATATTATATATTTTTGTTCATTTATAAACCTTCTTTTTGTGAAAATTAAATAAAAATTAGGTAGTTTGAAATAATATATATTTTTGTTAATTTATAAACCTTCTTTTTGTGAAAATTAATTAAAAATTAGGTAGTTTGAAATATTATATATTTTTGTTAATTTATAAACCTTCTTTTTGTGCAAATTAATTAAAAATTAGCTAGTTTGAAATATTCCATATTTTTGTTCATTTATAAACCTTCTTGTTGTGAAAATTAATTAAAAATTAGGCAGTTTAAACTATTATATATTTTTGGTAATTTATAAACCTTTTTGTGAAAATTAATTAAAAATTAGGCAGTTTAAACTATTATATATTTTTGTTAATTTATAAACCTTTTTTTTGTGAAAATTAAATAAAAATTAGGTAGTTTGAAATAATATATATTTTTGTTAATTTATAAACCTTCTTTTTGTGAAAATTAATTTAAAATTAGGTACTTTGAAATATTATATATTTTTGTTCATTTATAAACCTTCTTTTTGTGAAAATTAATTAAAAATTAGGTAGTTTGAAATATTCCATATTTTTGTTTATTTATATTTTTTCTTCTTATAAAAATTAATTACAATTTAGAAAGTTTCAAATATTCTGTATTTTTGTTAACTCATAAATTTTCTTTTTGTAAAAATTAATACAAATTAGATACTTTAAAATATTCAGTGTAATTTCTTATCTATAATTTCAAAAATTTGTTAGAATAGTGCACGAAAAATATGACAATATGTTATAAAAAAATTTAAATGTATTTAAATTTGTAGGATGGAAAGTCGATGATAATTTAAAAAAAAAATAATATTAAATTTGCAGTTCATCCGTGGGAATGTGTTTCCAAAAGTGCGAGAATCGTGAACTTGTGGATGACTATATTTTCTTTTTTCATCAAAACAGCTTATAACGCACTTATACTCAATTACATATGGTCTACTACAGTGACGATTCCTTTCGATGATCTTCACTCTTTAGTGCAGGATACTTCGTACAACGTCCTTACATTATCGGGTTCTTTGCCGAATATTCTATTTCAGGTAACAAAATTATTAATGATTTCAATTTTCCAATTTAAAGATTTTTTAATTATTGTTAATGTAATTTTCCAATTTTTGAACTACGAAATTGTGAATTTCTTTTTATGTAACTTTCCAATTTCTAAACTACGAAATTGTCAAATTTACAGATTTTCAAAACTTTCAAGGTTTCTTTTCGAAATTCTTAAATTTCCACAATACCAAATTCCAAAATTCCTAAATCTTCAAATTTTTAATATATCTAATTCCAAAATTCCCAAATCTCAACATTCTCTGATCACAAAATTCCCTAATTCCCAAAATCCTAAATTTCCAAATGTCAAATCTCTCAAATTCCCAGATCCCCAAATCTCCAAATCCTCAAATCTTAAATTACTCAAATTCCCAAATCTCCAGATTCCCAAACCTCAAATTTCCCAAATTCCCAAATTCCCAAATTCCCAAATTCCCAAATTCCCAAATTCCCAAATTCCCAAATTCCCAAATTCCCAAATTCCCAAATTCCCAAATTCCCAAATTCCCAAATTCCCAAATTCCCAAATTCCCAAATTCCCAAATTCCCAAATTCCCAAATTCCCAAATTCCCAAATTCCCAAATTCCCAAATTCCCAAATTCCCAAATTCCCAAATTCCCAAATTCCCAAATTCCCAAATTCCCAAATTCCCAAATTCCCAAATTCCCAAATTCCCAAATTCCCAAATTCCCAAATTCCCAAATTCCCAAATTCCCAAATTCCCAAATTCCCAAATTCCCAAATTCCCAAATTCCTAAATCTCTAACTGTCAAATTTCTCACATTCCCAGATCCCCAAATCCCCAAATCCTCAAATCTCAAATTACTCAAATTCCCAAATCTCCAGATTCCCAAACCTCAAATTTCTTAAGTTTCTCAAATTTCCAAATCTCCAGATCCCCAAACCTCAAATTTCTTAAATTTCTCAAATTCCCAAATTACCAAATTCCCAAAATCCCAAAATCCCAAAATCCTAAATCTCCAAATCTCAAATCTCTCAACTTCCCAGATCCCCAAATCCCCAAATCCTCAAATCTCAAATTACTCAAATTCCCAAATCTCCAGATTCCCGAATCTCAAATTTCTTAAATTTCTCAAATTCTCAAATTCCCAAATCCCCAAATCCCCAAATCCCTAAATTCCCAAATTCTCAAATCTCCATATCTCCAAATCCCCAAATCTCCAAATGTCCAAATCCCAAAATTCCAAAATTGCAAATGCCAAATCTCAAAATCGCAAAATTTCCAAGTTCTTCAATAAAAAAATTTCAATTATTCCTCCCCAAGTTCCCCACTTCCCATTCTCCCAATTTCAAAAATTCCCAAGTTCCCAAATTGTTAAATCCGACTAATTTTTCATTAATTTACTATCACTTCTTCTTTCCACTACATCCAACTGTTTTTAGGAAAACCTGTCCGATCATGTAGAGGTCTTAGAACATAACCGGCACTTCGAAGCAGCCACAATGGAGGATCTATTCAAGCTAGGCTGTTCAAGAGAAAAGCGGTGGGCTATATACCTAGCGGCAGACATGAAGAAAGCAAGTGGTTTGATGATCTGCCGATTAAATCCAGTTGGGAAATCCTTGTTCCATTCGTATATCGTTTCTGGAATATCATGGAACTTTGAATACAAGAGAACGATCGACAGAGGGTAACGTATTCCAAAAATGAACCCCTTCCCGTTTTATTTATTTATCAGATGCTTGAGACTAAGTATTTAGGGCTGTAACATTAAAACGAACAAAGAAAATTAAAATGTTGTGAGTATTTTATATTCAGGGAAATTTAGTAAAATAGTATAACTTAATAGTTGGATATAATTTCCAAGTTGGGGAATGTTCAAAGTTTGAGTACGGTTTGTCACGTTTGAGCTGTAAGTGCGTCACGAATGAGACTCGTCAAAGCACGGGAAGGGGTTAAGAGTCAAGTCTGCTGATCGAATACTCAGAGTATTATTTTTGGGGAATTTTTGGAACCTCTTATGGAAAATTGATATGTGGCGATCGTTGTTTATCTTATGGTGGTCAGGAGATAAGGGATTTGGAGATTTGGGGATTTGGGGATTTGGAGATTTAGGGATTTAGGGATTTGCGGATTTGGAGCTTTGGGGGTTTGGGGATTTAGGGATTTGGGAATTTGGGAATATGGGAATTTGGAGATTTTGGAATTTGGGAATATGGGAATTTGGGAATTTGGGAATTTAAGAAATTTGAGATTTGGCGATTTGGGAATTTGAGAAATTTGAAATTTGGGAATTTGAGAAATTTGAGATTTGCAGATTTTAAGATTTAGGAATTTGGGAATTTGGGAATTTAAGAAATTTGAGATTTGCAGATTTTAAGATTTAGGAATTTGGGAATTTGGGAATTTAAGAAATTTGAGATTTGCAGATTTTAAGATTTAGGAATTTGGGAATTTGGGAATTTAAGAAATTTGAGATTTGCAGATTTTAAGATTTAGGAATTTGGGAATTTGGGAATTTAAGAAATTTGAGATTTGCAGATTTTAAGATTTAGGAATTTGGGAATTTGGGAATTTAAGAAATTTGAGATTTGCAGATTTTAAGATTTAGGAATTTGGGAATTTGGGAATTTAAGAAATTTGAGATTTGCAGATTTTAAGATTTAGGAATTTGGGAATTTGGGAATTTAAGAAATTTGAGATTTGCAGATTTTAAGATTTAGGAATTTGGGAATTTGGGAGTTTGAGAAATTTGAGATTTGGAGATTTGGAAATTTGAGAAATTTGAGATTTGAGGATCTGAAGATTGGGAGATTTGGGGGTTTCGGGATTTGGAGATTTGGAGATTTAGGGATTTGGGAATTTGAGATTTGGGGATATGGAGAATTGGAGACTTGGGAATTTGAGAAATTTGAAACTTGGGGATCTGTAGATTTGGAGATTTGAGAAATTTGAGATTTGGGGATCTGGAGATTTAGGGATTTGGGAATTTGGGAATTTGAGAAATTTGAGAAAATTGCGACTTGGAGGTTTGGGAATTTGAGAAATTTGAGACTAGGGGATTTGGTGATTTGGAGATTTAGGGATTTGGGAACTTGGGAATTTGAGAAATTTGAGATTTGGAGATATGGAGAATTGGAGACTTGGGAATTTGAGAAATTTGAAACTTGGGGATCTGTAGATTTGGAGATTTGAGAAATTTGAGATTTGGGGATCTGGAGATTTAGGGATTTGGGAATTTGGGAATTTGAGAAATTTGAGAAAATTGCGACTTGGAGGTTTGGGAATTTGAGAAATTTGAGACTAGGGGATTTGGTGATTTGGAGATTTAGGGATTTGGGAACTTGGGAATTTGGGAAATTTGATATATGAAGATTTATGATTTTGGGAATTGGAGTATTTTAGGGTTTGAGTATTTTGAAATTTGTGGATTTGGGAATTTGATTAGAATAAAATTTGGGGATTCAGGAATTTAGAAATTCTGAAATTTGGTATTGTGGTAATTTATTAATTTAAGAATTTCGAAATGAGACATTGTAACTCAAAAAAAATGACCGTGAAGGTCTTTGAATCCCAAAAACCATACTCGGAATATTCAGTTAGGTTAGGTTCTTCCTAACCTTAGGTCAGACTCGACTCTTAATAAAATACATTTGACTATATTCTTCGTTGCTTCGATGAGTTCTAGCATAATATAATTTTCTATTTCTGTCACGCAGGATATTAAAACTACACGAAACCGGAATTATGAAAATGTTACAGCATCGCTGGTTAGAGTCGAAAAATGTGGAAGACGAGAATAAGTTTGATGAGAGCGAAAGTGAAGAGGACGATATATATTTTGTCATCAGCACATTTACAGCTGTAATACTGTTAGCTCTCGCGGTTCTTGCTGTTGAATATTTAATATTCTACTATAATAAACGAAATTGATTGAGCTTGTATCAGTTGATGTACTTTTGAAAGCAAATATGGGTGCAGGGAAAATTCCTATCGTAATGTAGGTGAAGATTCAGCAGTAGTGATCGCATTAGAAGCAAAATAAAGCAATAAAAGTTTCCTGAAGGGTTTAATAAAAAAAATAAAAAAAAACGTCATTTTATGGAGAAAATTTGTGGCGCCATCTGGCGGAGAAACTGCGAACTAAATTGAAAAAAACGTATGCTCATACACGCGTTAAGGAAAAATGTAAACAGCAATATTTCGCAACTTTCACGACGTAGTATGCTTCTTTAGACATTTTAAAGCAATGCTTGTTCAATAAGTTAATCATTTTTTTACCTATTAAGCCCGGAAAATCAATTTTTATTTGACCCCTTTACTGCGTGGTCGGACATACGTTTCTCCTGTTTAGTTGGCAGTTTCGCCGCTAGATGGCGCCACAAATTTTCTCCATAAAATGACATTTTTTTATTTTCTTTATTAAAACCTTTAGGAAGCTTCTTTTGCATTATTTTCCTTTTAATGCAATCACATAACACTTTCTGAGCCTCAGAAGTACTCAAAGTTCGCTAATTTTCGAGAAAATCGCATTTTTATATTTTTGTAGTTCCAACTTTCACCGCTAGATGGACGCCAATTTTTTAGTCCATGTTCTGACCTATTTTTTTATTTTATTTTCTAGCGCTCTGAGGAGGTTGTCGTGGCATTATATAGGTTCTAGAGAGGTCACAGAACAATTTCGGACCCTCAGAAAGACGTAAAATTGCCTAATTTCGGAGAAAATCGAAATTTTAGTTTTTCATAGTTTCGCCGCTCGCTGCTAAATGGCGCCACCTGTACCGTTTTGGACCGAATTCGACCAAAATTGATTTCCTACCTTTATTAATCATCAAAACGCATCAAACCCTAATAGAAATTTGTTTCTAAATACCGCAGGAACAAATGCCTCAGGAACCGTACTACGTCGTCAAAGTGCTGAAATATTCATTTTTTTATTTTCCTTATATGCGTGTGCAGACCCTAATTTTTTAGGTTTAGTTTACCCTTTTCGCTACTAGATGGACGTCAATTTTTTAGTCCATCGGCTCGCTCGCTCAATAAAATTGAATATCAAGTACAAATAAAATTCTTCTTTATGGACGGCGTGAAAAAAGAGCTCCTCTTGACCGACGACGACTCCGATGATCACCACATTATTGTCTAATGTGGCGCCATCTAGCGGTGGACGATAAGAACTAATGAAACTCCAGTTTCAAAAGTGTGTAGTTCACCCCGTTCGCCGGAGAGATGGCGCCACACGTTTAATTTTTGAAAAACTGCAATTATTATCGATTTCATTGCCTTAATTGACTATAAAATTCTTTAAATTACATCATAGAGCAAGAATGATTAATTTCACAGCGTTTTTGATGTTATCAAGCCTTTATCAATTTTAAGTCATTCAAAAGGGGTAACTTTGGAATATCACGTTTCGATTCTTGCTACATTTTGCAAGCAAGCTCCTTTTTTCAAAAGGAAACATATATGAATCGCCATAGAAACGCAATTCTTTTTTTTTATGTGTAACACATTTGAAACTCTAGATGACGCAAGCAGTACTCTTTTCATTGTGCGCGCGCATAAAAATATAAAAACAAAAAAAAAATGTAATATGACACTTGTAACGTGTCTTTTATTTTTTCAGTTACTGTTGTTGTAATCAATTTAATACAACAATAAAGTTGATGCAATAAACTTGATATAATAAAGTTGATACAATAATCTTGATATTATAAAGTTGATACAATAAACTTGATATAATAAAGTTGATACAATAAACTTGATATAATAAACTTGATACAATAAACCTGATATTATAAAGTTGATACAATAAACTTGATATAATAAAGTTGATACAATAAACCTGATATTATAAAGTTGATACAATAAACTTGATATAATAAAGTTGATACAATAAACTTGACATAATAAACTTGATACAATAAAATTGATATAATAGACTTGATTGATTTTTACTAAATTAAATCGCTGCGATACTTTAATTAACAATAAGATTGTAAACTTAAACATAAATTTCAATTACAGAAAAATTATGATACGCAAATTAAGTAATTAATATTTGAATTCACAATTTTTAATATTACAATTCAAACTCAAAAAATATATTTCTATCATTGCTTCTAAAAATTGCACAAAATTGTATCAACTTCCAAAAAAGAAATGTTTATAATTGTCGTTAAAAGTGTACAATTCATTTGTCTATAAATGAAAAATTATTTATAGAAAGTTACCATTATTATTTTACTATTAGCAACTATTAATATTAGTTTACTATTTAATTTATTATTTTATCATTAGTTTAGTGCATTATCGTTATTAATTCTTTATCTACCATGTCACTCATGTATGAGTGATGTTTAAACCATATAAATCCATCAGTTCTTATATATTACTCAAGAATTTGTTTACTTACTTAAGTGAAAGTATCAACTACTTGTAATTACGAATAATAAATGTGATAAATATTGTGAAGAAATTTTATAACGTTTGTTGAAAGTAAAAATATTGTTCAACAAAATTTTCAGCTGCCTATGGCAGTCAATGTGTTAATAAGTTAGTATTGTGACAGCCAATGTGTTATTAAGTTAGTATTGTGGCAGTCAACGTGTTAATAAGTTAGTATTATGGCAGTCAACGTGTTATTAAGTTAGTAGTATATTATAGCAGTCAATGTGTTATTAAGTTAGTATGATGGCAGTCAATGTGTTATTAAGTTAGTATTATAGCAGTCAATGTGTTATTAAGTTAGTATTGTGGCAGTCAACGTGTTATTAATTTAGTATTATGGCAGTCCACGTGTTATAAAGTTAGTATTATAGCAGTCATCGGGTTATTAAGTTAGTATTATGACACTCAACGTGTTAATAAGTTAGTATTATGGCAGTAAACGCGTTAATAAGTTAGTATTATGGCAGTCCACGTGTTATTAAGTTAGTATTATAGCAGTCAATGTGTTATTAAGTTAGTATTGTGGCAGTCAACGTGTTATTAATTTAGTATTATGGCAGTCAACGTGTTAATAAATTAGTATTATAGCCGTCATCGTGTTATTAAGTTAGTATTATGACACTCAACGTGTTAATAAGTTAGTATTATGGTAGTCCACGTGTTATTAAGTTAGTATTATAGCAGTCAGTGTGTTATTAAGTTAGTATTATGGCAGTCAACGTGTTAATAAATTAGTATTGCGGCAGTCAACGTGTTATTAAGTTAGTAATATATTATAGTAGTCAATGTTTTAATAAGTTACTATCATGGCAGTCAACGAGTTAATAAGTTAGTATTATGACACTCAACGTGTTAATAAGTTAGTATTATAGCAGTCATCGTGTTATTAAGTTAGTAATATATAATAGCAGTCAATGTCTTAATAAGTTACTATCATGACACTCAACGTGTTAATAAGTTAGTATTATGACACTCAACGTGTTAATAAATTAGTATTATAGCAGTCATCGTGTTATTAAGTTAGTAATATATAATAGCAGTCAATGTCTTAATAAGTTACTATCATGACACTCAACGTGTTAATAAGTTAGTATTATGACACTCAACGTGTTAATAAGTTAGTATTATAGCAGTCATCGTGTTATTAAGTTAATAATATATGTAATAGCAGTCAATGTCTTAATAAGTTACTATCATGACACTCAACGTGTTAATAAGTTAGTATTATGACACTCAACGTGTTAATAAATTACTATTACCAATAACGTACTCGATACTTTTACAAGGAATATAAATTTACAAGCCAATATATTTTACAGTCACACAATATACAGTAACATATTATTTTCTTCCAATCAAAGATGTCTATACCCCCAATTACGTCAATGCGATACATCGTTCGCTCAAATTATGCTTCAGAGTTATTCGAGGAAGGTTAAATTACCGGAATCACAAATTCGCCTAATAAAACCCATTAAAACCGTGAAGGAGGGATGCACGTGTTTAGATTTGATTATGCTTAGCCATGCTCCTCTAATTATTGCGTGTATACCGGTATTATATATTCACTCCGTGACTGCTCTTGACACAAGTAATCACTGTTGTATGTAGATACCGCACTTTGAACCTACAGTAAGGTCAATAGGCACATGAATTTTAAACCATCGTCACCAGCTTCTATGCTCTAATTAGACTATCTTACATCTAGATGCTGCTGATAGCAGTGTCATTCTTTATTATTAGATCTTCGGAACTGCCGTGGTTAGGAAATATTTTACGCGTATAGGGTGTACCATTTTATACGATTTTGATCTCTCAAATTATTTAGAAAATTATATAGAAGATTATACAGATAAATAATGTGTAAATTATACAGAAAATAATATATGATTTATAAAAGAAATGATATACTTACATACATACATACATACATACATACATATGCACATGTACATTGTACAGAAAATATCATATAAATTATACAGAAAATTATATATGAATTTCACTGAAAATTGTACATGAATTGTAGAGAGAAATAATATATAAATTATATAGGAAGTAGTATATGAATTATGCAGAAAATGGTATACATATATACATATATGTATTGTACAGAAAATACTATATGAATTATATTAAAAATTATATATGAATTTTACTGAAAATTATACAGGAATTATACAGAAAAATAATATATAAATTATACAAGAAGAAATACATAAATTATGCAGAAAATGGTGTACATATACATGTACATATGTGTATTGTACAGAAAATATTATATGAATTAATAGTATACTACATTATTAATAATATACTATATGAATTAATACTATATGAATTGTATAGAAAATTATATGTGGATTTTACAGAAAATTTTATGTGAATTATAATAGAAAATAATTACAAAATTATGTAGAAAATATCTTTAACAAAAGTAAAATAATATCGAAAGGAACATAATTCAACGTTAACAAATTTCTAAATATCTCGACGCCATTTTCTCAAAAATTCTTGTAAAAGTTTTGTAAAAGTTCTACACTTA